CAGGTTTTGACTTTCTCTCGAATCACATTCGGGAAGCTTCTACAGCTCAACTTCATTCAAACTCAGAATATATGCAAATTTCTGAAGCGTATAATTTCATCCCATATTCCTATGGGAAAACATCTCTACCATAAGTTATCGAATCCGCTATGATCCCAGTCCCGTTGCGATCTAAGGTTAAGGAGATTAGTGTTGAGAAAGACGATTGGAAAACAACTGAACAAAAACCGTTCTCCGTCTGTTTCCGTAAAGAAAGAACGGAACTTCAGATGGGCGAACAAACCCAATGAAAAGATGTAATAAACACTCCACACGCACACCGAATTACTGAAACAAAAAACGATTGGCTGTTATTATAACGGTTTTTAATAATTATTTAAAGGTTATTAAAACGGTTTTTAATAGGCCTTTCGGATGTTGACAATACAGGTTTCGCAAAACGAATTCATTACATGGTTATCTCAAAATTAAATAGATGTGACGTTAGGCGACTAAAAAAAGACCTACCAGGTAAGAAAAAATATAAAATATACGATTCGGAGAGAAAGGCTCTGAGGAAATCACACGTCAACAGGCGACAACGTCGACGCTCCAACGGTTGCGTCGCGACCTTTCTGCTGGAGCAAGTTATTTTGTGATACGTGAACCTTGCCGGTTGGCGTTCTTGTTAATCAGCACGGTCAAGGGAATTTTGTCAACCAGAAATCCTCTCGCTGAGAACCAAGGGGTGAAGCAGCACTTCATGCCGTATCCACCAACAGAAATGGACCAGATAGTCTCATCTTTTCTACTCATTAGAAAAATTTATCTAACTATGAAAACATAACTTGAACTGGTAGACGAAGAGAGAATGTCTGGGAAATGATTGATGGATTCACTGGATAAGTACTATTTTTGGCAGATCACTCAAAGCATTCTAAGAGAAGTAAAGGTGATCTTTATCGCGATATCAATATAAAAATGCACAAAATCTTTGCATTGATAAAGTGTCTGGGTGACACTGCACGAAATCCGCGGTTTCCCGCTGTGCTACCTCCTGTTTATGGGAGTGAATACTGATTAGGGGATAAACATGATCGTTTGAAGACTCGCAGCAAAAGTGAAACAATATGTACTGAACAAATTGTAGTGTTCGCTATTTATCACGTGCATCATAATATCTACGGATCTCCTTCACTAAGGGTTCTCTCTCACTGAAGTATCCCCAGCTGGTTAGAGGCGAGGCTACGTAAGGCGTCCCCAGGTGGCGGGTAGGGGAATCAATCGCCGAAGTCACTGGTACTTGCCCAGAGACGTAGATGGATTCAGAGGATGGACTTCTTGATTATGCCGTGATGATCGATATGCCTTCTGTTTTTCGCAGTCGATCCACGCATACGTATTTGGAGAGTCTGTGGGTGCAGTTGATATCCTGTCCATCGACTCAGCCAAAAACTTGCATTCGAATGACTGGGAATTATCTGCGAGGCGATTCGGGCCGCCTCAAAAACGCCTCTCGTCCAAGCTACGGGATAGCCTGGCAAGCCCCCGCAGTCAACCCAGCCCCCAAGTCAGAGCCTGGCAAGCTACACGTAGGGTAATCACTCACCAAAAACAGTAGTAGGGCCTCATTTCCCTGAATCTGAGTGAGCTCCCAATACGGCAGCGTTGGGTAAGACCGCTCAGGAGAGGCTGCTAAAATCTCAGGGCAAAAACAGGCTGCCTAAAAGGAGAAGGACAAAGATGGCGATCTGTACCTCAATGCACGGACGCTTCGGAAGCGTGAGTAGAAGATCTGACGATGCAAGCTGGGAAGATCAAGCACGACGTCACGGGACTGACCGAGACGAGTAGGAATCGCCCGCTCCATGCTATATTTGAGACTGGAGAAGAACTGTTCTTTGGAACATGCGACAGTAGAGGCGTCGGCGGTGTGAGTGTCCTCGTTAATACACACATGGACATGAGCATCGATTCGTATGGGACTTAACAACCCGAATCGGACGTTTGCGATTAAGAATATGCATCTCAACCCCAGCTCTAACAATTTTCGTTGGCTTCGCACCAACACCGAGCTACGAAGAAGAGGAGATGGAAGCGTTCTGTATGGATCTGGAGAGGCTCTGCAGCGAAGACCACAGCTTCTTCAAGGTCATCGGCGGTGATTTTATCGCCAAGATTAGCTTCAGAAAAATCACGACTCACGGAATGGAATGGACTGAGCAGGGGCTGTCCGAGTTCATCATGTCAAACAGGATCGGACCATTGGCTCTTCCGCGCTAGATTCTGCTTCTCCGTGCGTGGAGAGCGAGCTGTGAACTTTAGGAAACGAAGCCCCAAGACCTGCAACAACTGGGATCACTCCGCTTCCTTTGCGAGTGAATGGGAAGATTCCGTCATCGACAACATCGATAAAGAATACAACTAGCTCGTCGAACACTTTCACGATAGTGCTAGGAAAACAGAGTCTACAACTAGCCAAGAGACGACTCACTTCGAACACTCGTGCGCTGATAGGCCGGCATGGACTCGCGCGAGCTACAGGCAAACAACACTAAATGTCTATAATTGCGAATCTATGCAAGAAGAGATAAAGGAAGATCTGAAAGAGAGAAGAGCAGCACTTATGGACGAAGCCGCCGAGGCCGGAAAGAGCATTCGCAAAGCCCGACGGAGCTTCGCCAATCACAAGACCAAGGTGACTTCCCTTCGTCGTCCTGACGGAATAGTTAGTGCATCCCGAAGGGCAGTGGAGAAGGTCATCTAGACTTCTACTCAGCCACGCCTATTTGCCTACCCGCCATCTTAGGCAAGATGAATATATCGCTCCTTCGGTTATCCCTTCCAAAATACGTCATGCCATCACGTCGATTTAGAACTGTACGGCGCCCGCTCCCGATAGGAACAAACCAGAACATTTGAAGAGTCTTGCACCAGTTATCGTCAGAACTCTGGCTAGGCTATTCACGCGGTGCCTGTCGGAATGCAAAGTGCCCACGTCGTGGAAAACTAGCAAGACTGTGTTGTTGTATAAAAAGGGAGATCCAGTATCGTCCAATCGTCTGTAATCTACACGCTTCTCACTCGCGTCATTCTGAACAGGATTGGCAGAATATTAGACGAAGGACAGCCATGCGAGCAAGCAGGGTTTCGGAGAGGGTTCAGCACAATCGATCATATCCACACTCTTACAAGACTCATTGATCGCGAGAGTACAAAATGCCGTTATGTCTTACGTTCATCGATTTGAAGAAGTCTTCGACACCGTTGAGACAGAAGCGGTAATCGAAGCCCTGGGCAACCAGGGTGTTCCTACTCACTATAAAAGGATGCTTCGTGAGCTCTACAACAATTTTACGACCAGGATCCCGCCATTCTATAGAAAAGTCACGGTCAACGTGAAGAGAGGTGTCCGGCAGAGTGAAGGTCGGCGGCCACTACATACATCACCTCGATCTGGGCTTAGAATCCGCGACTAAGGGTGTGTGAGTTTCGCCACTTGCCACTACGTCACCTCGACCTCTAACCAACGAAACACAAGCCAATAACTGAATAATTTTATCTGACATTCCATTATTCATTATTATCGAATTATTCGGATTTGCTATTCATGTAATCTTTACTGTTTCTTCACTTTCCAGTAGATTGATGAGCTTGTTCGGAAAGTTTAATGACCCCTGAGTCTTCAACTCTAATCAGGGTCTCCTCGCACCTATATGCAAAGCAACGATACTCATGACATAAGTTGATCGTAAATCGAGATACTGAGTGATTTGGATGAGTTGGTTGGAAATTGCGCTGTGTGGATGGCAATTGAAGCCCAGGCGCTCTAATGGCAAAGTAGCTGCGAGTAGCCTCGCCGAACACCCACCTCCCGCAGCGTCTCCCCTAGCCATATTCTCATCAGCCTTTTTCTGTTTGTGTACGATTACTTCCTGAGTCAGTCATTGTGTAAGATAGTCCGGAAAATATATGTCTGGTACATAGCAGCATAGAATAGCTGAGATCGCTGCTGAAATCGCGATTCCCTCAATTTCTGAGCGTCTTGTTTGACCGTTCGCAGCTCGCCTGCTGAGGAATCACATTTCCCAGTTCCTTCTGGAATGCTCTCAACGATCTCCTTACCGATAAAAGCCTATATTCTCGAACTGAAATTCACAGCTATCCAAGCAAAAGTTGCGCATTGACGCTGGGAGCCCATTCAAAAAGCGCGTGCGATGCACACGCGATGTGCGCGGGGCGAATTGTCGGGTCACCTAAATAAAATCGCGCACAGCATGTAGTTGATGTAGGTGAATCGGGTAACATGTTCTTTCACCAGCCCAGTGACTTTATTTCTTCAAAAAAAAACTCATTTTCTCAAGCTATTCTATCAATTTTTCCTTGTTATTTTGCATTTCGTTGGGAAGGAGGAGGAAGAGGGTAGTGCCCTTTTGAAACGCCGTGGACTAGAGCACAGAAAAGGAGAGGCATCTGCCTTCGCGAGCTGAGCTTTGGAACGTTTCATGTCGAGAATTTTTTTTCAACCTAAATCTGAAGAACGAAGGAGCTCTGGAGTAGGTGAGCCAATTGAATTTTCACTTTTTATCTTTTCGAGATATCAACTCACCCACCCCGGAGCTCCTCCCCTTCGGAAGAGCGGTGCCCTTCCCCTCCTCCCGTTTCCTCCCGCCTACATTTTCACCTTGCATTTCTTAACTTTTACCGATTAGTGAGGCCATGTGAGATCCTTTGGGTCTTCGTACTTGACAATAGCTACCAGTAAGTTGATGGGCATGGTGTTTCGTATGAGTTGTTTGGCGCAACAATTCGTTGGGCGGCTATTACAGCAGTTGCGCCCCAATGGTAATGTTGCGCGAGGAGCCGCGTCAAACGATGACCCTCTTTTCAAATCGTGGACGCGGTAAATCGGCGCTGTTTTGTTGGAGGACGCCCTCCAGAAGAGCGTGCTCCTTCACCTCGTTTTACTGTAAGCAAGGTTTCATTGGATTTTCTTCTTACTTTACTTGTTCAGAAGGAAAATGGCAACAGAGGACATAACCAATGAAGAAGAGCGGATGGATATCAGCGAGGTTTGTTTTATTAGCTACAACAATGCTTTTGTCTTATAAAGCTATGTGATTATTTATGGCTTTACTTATGCTCCCTCGATATGCACTGCCATACCATTTATCGTTAATTTCAATGCATCGTTAAGGAATTAGCTATTACTACGTACTAAAAAAGTAATGTGTACGAACCGCTTTAGGTCCGTTATGGGCATTACCTTCTCTCGTGTTTGAACCGTTTAGATGATTCATATAAACAGAAAGGCAAGTTGTAACATTGGGTTGTGGCCACCACCACGCCTCAGATCTCTGAATTTTTCCCTTAGTATTGTAGTACTTACTACACATTCTTGGTTGAATCAGTTACTTTTGCAGTGATTCCAAGGATTTCACGAATTTAATCTGCCTGACGATGCCGCTGTAGTACTTTTTTTCGCTTTTGGTAGCTTAGTCGATCAGCTGACAAAGCCCCCTATATGTTATTTTGTGGGATCTTGCGAGTGAATATAAGTCGTTTGTAGATGACACCTGAAGCGGATGCCGTTGATGAAGTAAAAGTGGAACAGGAAGAGAATGAAGAAGGTGAGATGGAGGCTGAGGAAGGAGGTATTGCTCTGTTTTCAAGCCTCTGTTATAATCCATCTTCCACATTGTTCAGAAAAAAATTCCAGAAGACAGCTTGGAGTCTAAGTTTGAAGCCGACTCGTTCAAAAGGTTTGAATTGTTACTGAAAAAAACGGAAAACTTCTCACATTGCCTCAGTGCTGGAGATGTTGCTGCATACAAAGGTAGGTGTCCGACGAGTTTTGGTTACATGCTCTACGTTCCGGAAGTCGTAGGTCGCATAAAAATAATTTTTAGGATCACCAGTCAAGAAAAAACGAGGTAGAGTTGCTAAAACCGGTGTTGACGGCGATCACAGACATAGAAAGACCGAACAGGTTAGTGGAAATTTCATCGAATTCTCAGTGGCAGTGGTCTAATAAAAGAGGACCGCGAGCAATATTTCCCAGATTTCGAAGTTTTGGATCATCAGTGACGGCAACTTAATTCAGCCGCAAACTACATTTCCTTATTTCAGGAAGAAGATGAAGAGATGGCTGAAGCAGCTGTCAGGGAGGACACGGCAATGGTTTTTGATAAAAACCCTTTTTATATTCAAAATGGTGAATTAAGGTGAGTTTTTCATCTATGACTTCTTATCGAGAACGTAAGCAGTTCGGAATCCTGAAACCCTCTTCAGAGATTATCAAATACGAGGTTTAAATTGGCTGATATCACTCCAGCACAATGGTATCAATGGAATTCTTGCCGATGAAATGGTACCTTCTCAGAACTTTTTTTTTTGTAGTAGCACACAAACTTATTTTGTTCATTTTCAAGGGGTTGGGAAAGACCCTGCAGACTATTGCTCTTCTGGGGTACATGAAGCACTACAAGAACATGGCTAGTCCTCATCTGGTGATCGTGCCGAAGTCGACCTTGAAAAACTGGATGAACGAGTTTGCGAAATGGTGTCCATCCCTTTCAACTTGTTGCGTTATAGGCGATGAAAAAGAGAGGGTAAGTCTGCTTCTGATTTTTCGATGGAACTTAAAAGTCAAATGGTATTCCAGAACGATGTGATCCACAATACAATTCTACCCCAAAAATTTGACGTATGCTGCACTACCTACGAAATGGTGTTGAAAGTAAAAACACAACTGAAGAAGTTGGTTTGGAAGTACATCATCATAGATGAAGCACATCGGATCAAGAATGAGAAGTCGAAGGTCTTTTCCTAGGCTGCTATCTCAGTTGAACAATTTTTGTGACCGAACTTCTCTTTTCAGCTTTCCGAGGTTGTTAGAGAGATTAAATCAAAAAATCGCCTGCTTATCACTGGAACTCCCCTACAAAACAATCTTCACGAGCTGTGGGCTTTGCTGAACTTCTTGCTCCCAGACATGTTCTCATCCTCTGAGGATTTCGATTCTTGGTTTACGGATGGTAGCATGCAAGGCAATGCTGACATAATATCCCGACTACATAAGGTTGTCAAGGGTGAATAGTAGATCCTAGACGCTTGACAATTCATTTTTTTGTTTAGGTGCTCCAACCCTTCCTTCTTCGTCGAATCAAGTCTGATGTTGAGAAATCCCTTCTGCCGAAAAAGGAAGTCAAGGTATGCAGCATCGCCTAAGGCTTAGTATAGTTGGGTGAAAATACTGTATATACTTCAACCAATACCCTTTTTAAGAAATAATCGTAGTTCGTCAGAAATTTTAGTGCAATGAAAGTATTGTAAGATGAATTTTGGTGTTATCAAGATCTATAAATTCATAATTAGTCTCCAGTTTTTATATCTAGATTGAGTGATACTTCGTGTACCGTGAAAGTTGATAGGTTTAACGGGTGACCCTGGTCGACGAAAACTGCTGGTGTTGTCTTTTCAGATCTATGTTGGCTTATCGAAAATGCAACGGGAATGGTACACGAAAGTTCTCATGAAGGACATTGACGTCATCAATGGAGCTGGGAAGGTTGAAAAAGCGAGGTATGTTCCATAACGATATCGGAAGTTAACATAGGTTGCTTAAGACATTGGGATTTATTTGAAGATAGAGCTCGAGAGCGAATTCTCAACTTCAACTTTTAGACTGATGAACATTCTAATGCATTTGCGTAAGGCAGCTAATCATCCATATCTTTTTGATGGAGCCGAACCTGGTCCGCCGTACACAACAGATCAACACCTTGTTGATAACAGTGGAAAAATGGTCGTGCTTGACAAGCTGCTTGTAAAGCTAAAACAGCAAGGTAATTTTCGTGTTATTGTGATGTCACCTTGGACATCGTACAACTGTGACTTTTTGTACGGTAGCGAGAGGACAACGCTCAATACTTGCCAATATCTTTCATTTGCAGGTTCTCGCGTTCTGATATTCTCGCAGTTTTCTAGAATACTTGATTTATTGGAAGATTATTGTTGGTGGAGACAGTATCAGTATTGTCGGCTTGATGGCAATACAGCTCATGTTGACAGACAGGAATCTATAGACGCTTTCAATGCTCCTAATTCCGAAAAGTTCATATTTATGCTGACAACAAGAGCAGGAGGTGATTGTTCTTCTAAATTTTTCAACATTTCCTCATTTTTATAATTTCAGGCCTCGGTATCAATCTGGCGACGGCCGATGTTGTTATAATTTTCGACTCAGACTGGAATCCCCAGAGCGATTTACAAGCTATGGATAGAGCTCATCGAATTGGGCAGAAGAAACAAGTAGCTTATTTGATGCTCAGAATTCTCTGACTTTTCAGATTCAAATTAATCTTCTATAATTAACTGAGCGATTGAAGGTTCGTGTGTTCCGTTTGATCACGGAAAACACCGTCGATGAAAGAATCATTGAAAGGGCAGAAGTGAAGCTGAGATTGGATTCGATTGTTATACAGCAAGGAAGGATAGCGGAAGCTCAAAAAACGCTTGGAAAAGATGATATGATCAATATGATCCGTCACGGCGCAGAATTGGTGAGCCATACATATGTTTGTTTGTGAATGATATACCTTAACAGAAAATTTATTTAGAGAACTCATATTGTTTCTGTAATCCTGTTCTCAACTTGAGATCACTATTCCGACTTTCCTATCAAAACTTTTCGTCGATTTTTAGAGTGCTCTGTTTATTCCAGGTTTTTGCTACAAAAGATTCAACCATCACGGATGATGATATTGACGTGATCCTCGAACGAGCTGAAGTTAAAACAGCGGAACTGAATGCTAAAATGGAGGAGCTGGGTGAAAGCAACTTGCGGAACCTCACATTTGATAATAAATCTGTAAGTTTTTTCAATTCGTAAGTCTGTACTTCCGCAATGATTCAGCTATTGATATTGTAGTAGTCCTTTTATTTGACGACTACTCTTTTCTGGTTTTAGGTTTACAACTTTGAAGGAGAGAACTGGAAAGGTAAGCAAAGTGAAGGCATGGGACATTTTTGGATCGAACCACCGAAGCGTGAGCGAAAAGCCAATTATCAGGTGAGATGCGTCTTGACTCAAAGTTGTAATCTTTTATTTAATTATGCTTCAATATATCACACAGTGTTCACTAATGACTAATACGTTCCACTTGTTTCACTTTGAAGTATTAGCTGTTTTGGTGCCTAGGAGATTGTGTCCACTACAGGTAGACGCCTATTTCCGAGAAGCTATGCGCCAGGGTCAACCAGTGGAGAAACAGTCACGTGCTCCTCGGCCGAAACAACCCGCGGTATTCGATTTCCAATTTTATCCACCTCGTCTTATGGAACTGCTGGATCGCGAAACATATCACTACAGGAAGACTATTGGTTACAAGGTTGGTGAAAGTCCCCTGAGAACACTAAATATTCATTGTTTGTGGGTGTCGAGCGATCTCGATTGGGCTTGTAGAAGTCACAGATCTCCGATATATGGAGCAGGTGATCCTATTGGTGATCCTTCTTCATTATCATCTATCGAAATCCCGCCATTTATCGTCATAGCTACCTGAAATAGATAAAAAATTTCTTCTTTCCATGTGCCTGTGTTCAGCAAAATATGGGAGCTTCCAAGGAAATAATAATAGTGACCAGGTTGCTCCCTTATCGTTTGGGGTCTTTTATGAGTGCGCGGTTCCAAGCCTGGCCCTTTGGGCTATAATTTTTTTTACCTCAGAATTGTCTTCAAGACTTGTCTCTGATCCCCATACACTGCCATCGTGTTGTCCGTTTTCTTCCATTAAATCTTCTGGAAATTTGATAAGCTTGGGTTTGCCGCTTGTGCTTTGAATTGGGAACACGAGGTATTGCGTCTCTTGAAAGTTACTGAGATCATCAAGAGTTCCCGAACTGAAAAAATAGGAGTTATTTTGAATAGGACATTCCTGGTCTGATGCATGCTTGTACCTCATTCTTCCATCCCGCGATGAAGTTCTGCTGGCAGTCGAAGGCGGGTGATTTGTCGAGTTTGTTGCTAATTGATGACTGTTAGCGGTGTTGCCTTCATTGTCCTTGTTCGCGTCGAGGGGTGGGATCTTTAAAAGTCCTTCCGTTTTAACCCTATAATCGATTAATGTATTCTCCCTACCTCGAAGTATTTGTTGGTAAATCCTCTACTTGTGGGTGAAAATGGTTTCCTCGAGAAATTTGTATCGGCGTTGTCTTTGAGGTTCCCCAAGCTGCGAGTTACTCGGTTCTGGCGTTCCATTAGCTCTGTGCAATACTTCTCTGCTGAAATTTTTAACGATGGAACGGTACAGTGAAGAGATTCATTGAAGATATTCGAAACGGTGGTGCTAACCACGCGAAATCATTTTCGAGGGTTAACTTCTACTCAAAATGATTCCTCGATAGCATCACTGAGTTCGTGTCGTCATCCATGTGAGTTTTTCCTAGCTAACCCCGATAGTGTTTAACTTTTTTTAATTAAAATCAGTAACTCAGTCACTATCGTTGCGTAAATCATAATGCTAGGTGAAAGGAATGGTGAAATTCTGTCTCACTTGTGTAATTTAAGTTAAGGTTTTGGTGTTAATCGAACCCGCCCATAGATGCGCCCATTACTCGACTTCCATTCAAAATTGTGGTGGCGTATTGAATGCGTGTGTGGCGTCTACGATGACTTGCGGTGGCCAGTCGATATACGAATCATATCCTTTATCTTTTATGTCTAACCCCAGAGGGGTGAAAGGCTTGATAGGCCAGGCGGATACCAAGCCGGGATTTGAACTCCAGGCCTCGCGTGTGTGATAATGCTCTACTTGCCACTAGACTATCTTCGCCCTAAGTGAATGTGGTTTATCCCTTTAACGTTTTGGCCGGGTAGAAGTCGCGATAAGTCCTCTCAAGAAATTTAAATGGTCAGCGGAAATTTCTGTGATGTACCTCTTTCAGTCGTAATCTCTCCATCATAAAAGGCGCGCTCTATAAGTTCAGGACCATTTGTTGGAGACAAGTAGAATGCCGGTGTTTGTCGGGAGCCACGGCGAAGTGAAGAACTCATAACTTGCTGCAGTCTCTCGATGATTTTCGTCATCGAACCAGGGTGGTCTAGACGATCGTAGACGATCGATAATTTGTAACCCTTGAGTAAGCTTATTTTCAGATGATGGAAATAGAAAGAAATATTTTGGCAGTCACCTCGTGAAGGATATCTTGCATTAGATTATAATCGACACTTTCCGTATGTGAATCGTCTATCGGAGACCATCGATTTTGCGTTCCTTTTATTATAGAACCATTCTCTGCAACTCTGAAATGCTGAGTGAAACGTTTGTCATCCTCGGGGTGCATTCATATTGCCCGCCTTTTCACACAATTAGTGCTTTTTTTACGGATATCTGCGTGAAAACGCACCAGTTTGCGTTAGGACCGTTTACAAGAAGTTATTGCAGAGAACTTCTCCCTGTCAAGGTAATGCTCTTGTAACGATTCCTTGCAAACGGTCCTTGCGCGGAATAGTGCGTATTTACGCAAATATATGCGTAATTACACACCAATCTGCGCTTTTTCATGCAGGGTCCATTCCTGATCCCATAATGCTTGGCTTGGAGAAGAATAATGAATAGTTGGGATGCGACATGACGTATTTGAATTAAATTGTTACTGTATCGTAAGAACAATGCTAACACGCACTCCTTACCCCAATGAGTTTCGTAGTCTACCTGAAAGTAGAGAAATGGTGCGGTGAACTTACGTACATAATATTGTTATGAGTCTGTTCTCGTTTGCAGATGACAAGCTTAGTGCGTGGAGGTCGAAGCATGATCAAGGGCACCATGATATGCCATGCGTACTGTAGTATCATCAAACAGTTCTTGTCTCCGAGGGTAAACTCGTTCACGAAGAAAAGCATTGCTTCAGCGTTTGTAAGTAGCGATCGTGTTGCCGAATTTTCGTTCCAGCTCTCACCATTGCTTGCCACGTAGTATTCCGGGAGTAAATCTTGGATGATGGCTTGTAGTGAACTGAAATGATATGTTTGCCCTTCAAATATTCTCAGAAATACTGGTTATTGAGAAGATGAGTCTTCATTCTTCAATCCACTCTGAAATCGATTACTTCGGAGGGAAGAGCAACGATGGGGTCTACCTTCTTCATTCATTTCCAGTGAAAGGATCAGCAAAAGGACTTTGTGAAAAGCATCTTCGAGTACTAAGCTGCGGAACGATCAGTTTTACAAGTTTCTATCCAGAAGAATCACGCAGCGGCATTACTTTTTTTCTAGCCATTACGTCATTAGGAGAGTATTCGAGACCACTGCCACTGTCGTATTAGTTGCGGACTAGGTGGAAGGTATTCAAGGAAGATATAGTAATGAGGTCGGCTCTCTTGAGCGGCTATGAGTATACCGAAAATGATACACTGCACCTGGGAAAGTGTGTTTTAGTTCCTATAGCTATTACTCAATAGCTTTCCTGATGCTAGAATTACAGTATCAAGAGTAACGTTGAGCGGTAAGAGGTGTTCTATTGCAAAAACAAGGTGAGAATTGGATTTCCCAAGACGTAATCTTCGTCTAAGGTCGTTCAGGAGAAAAAATGGAGGTTATTTCAAAACCCCCTTTGTGCGTTCTCTTAATATGTGGGAATCACTTTTCGAGACCTTTCACTTGAACATTCTGATGAGCAAATCTATTTGAATGAAACCATTAATTTGTGTTTCACGACTTTGTAATCGTTGTAGATCAGCTTCAAACATGGAAGTCTATAATACATTGTCCATACTCTTACTCCATACCTGTTGTGCCATCGCTTGGCCACAAATCCACAAACGAAGACTGTTCGAGTTGTTTCTGAGGCGTCGCCGTCGCTGTTACCGGAGCATAAGCTTTCCATAGATGGAATAAATAAAGTGGCTCGGTGAATGAAGGAAATGTGAAACGCTACCCTGCTCAGGGCGGGGCCAGAAAATCGAGGATGAGCTTGCTCGTCGCTCGGCAACGGGCTGAGGAAACTGATAAGTCTTGCTGACGACAAAGCTCATCACTCCGGGAATTTAACCCGTAGTAGTGCCTAATTACATTGTAACTGAGCAGATACGACAGGGACTCTGAACAATTAGAGTAATATTGATAATGATGGAGGTCCAACTTCCAAGAAACGTTGCTGAGAATCTCCATTTACGAAGATTTCTTTCCTTACCCCATTTCAATGATTAGAATATTTTCCTCTTTTAGCAACATGAAAATTCTGTGTTAGGGTAGTTGTGCGATTCAGGATATTAACATATTTGTGTCCCATAGGATAATCAATTCACTGGCGCTGCTTTGAATTAAGGGCAAATTTTTCAGCCATATGTACAATGGAGAGGTACTGGGGGCAGCTACCATTCAAAAAGAGGTCAATACCCTCGTGTGTATTTTGATCTCAAACCCTAATCAGACCTCAAATTGACATTGGAGAAGCTATTCAGAGAATGAAGTTATGATATCATTTTCTCTGTACGAATGAGATTTCGTTGAGCATAAACCTTGTCGAGACCCTGTGATCAATGTGAAGTGATGACGCATCTTTTACGGTGGCGAACTTTTAGAACTTTTAGAGTGCATTAAGTGTGCAGTCATTTTGGGTTTTATGAAATGCCTTCAGGACGCTCATGACAGTTTTCACGTCCCCCTGACCCCCTAGCTTAAAGAAACCGATTTCAGGAGTGTCGTCATGCTCTCTCCGATGTTAGGAGCGATTTGCTTGCAATTCAGTAAAGTAAAAATGCGAAATCTCCGTTCATGTTGCTGAAACCGCACAATGTTTAACTGATCGGTTCTCGTGTCGTGTTGCATGCGTAACCATTTTATGGAGGTCAAAGGTACTACTCCTACTAGTGATAGCGTCTGCTCCTGCACATCTCGAAAAGGAGCAACGTATCGTATCTTTTTGGGGTTATAGAATAATGGTTTTGGAAGAGTAGAGGAATCTAAACTTCATCGTTTTGACAGTGAGGAGTAGGTTCTGTAGCAGAGATGAAATGGCCATCATCTTAATTATTCCAAAATCAAGGACATCGCAAAGTTCCATGAACGACGAGCGGATATGGCTTCATTTCTATCGAAGATAATAGGTGACATTTGAGAGAAGTAGTGAAAGATTGTAAGAGCTCCATTTGACTTGATCTCTATTGACGCTTACAAAATTGTATCGCAGATCATCTGACGGAAACAGCCATAGGGATGAGGGAGATGAGCTCATTTTGCTTTTCTGCCTTAAATATTATGACTCAAATATGCAAAGATACTAAGAAAAAAATTGTGTCATGAACATGAAGTACTCATAGCATAGTTCTGATCTTGAGGGTCAGACCAAATCCCAAGCAATGAGGCTAAAGGCAATTCAGAAGAGATGACATATTTTGATCCCCTTCCTCCAGAGCAAGGGTCCAAGATTTAGCAACTGGCACTAAGTGTGGGAAAGAAAGGCACATTGCCGCTGAGGACTATAACAGAGCGAGACAACATCTTTCCTGAAAGATGTCGATGTTTTAGTGTGAGCGAAATCGAATGTCAGTAGGAGAGATGAAAGACTAGTTCAAGCATCAATGATGCATACCCTCATGGAGCGCTTACCAACTTATCACCCGCGGTATTGCTACACATTGCCATAAACGAATAGACGTGCTTTTGTGTTCGACCATACAATTCCATACCACCCCAAAGAAAACGCTTCCTTTGCTCTACTCCCTGAATCATTCCACAGCTTTAGACTAGACATTTGACATCAGTGTTAGGAAACACACAACGGTATACAGTTTTTAGTGGCTAACTCTCAGAATTTTTCCTTTGTTCGTCTACGACATTGATACTTCAGCTTATAAATGGTCGTTCTTCTGGGTAGCATTTATCTCGTTGAAATGTACACTTTATGCACTGCTTGGTATCTGCGTTTCAGGCGGAGAAACCCAGAGAGTGCGGGCCAAAAGAAGCAGATAAGCGGCAGAAGGAGGAACAACATCTTATTGATACGGTGAGCTTTGTGCTTTACAAATCTACTCAAAAAGTGTTTCTTTTTTTTTGTGGAGGCATGTCTGTCCTTCACGAATGACGCTCTGTTCTTTTTAGGCCGAACCGCTGACGGAGGAAGAACAACAAGAAAAGAATGACCTGCTCACTCAAGGGTTGGCCAATTGGAGTAAACGAGATTTTACAGCTTTCGTTAGAGTACGTTCCTGGATATTTTCATTGAACTCTATCCGTACTGCTGTTATTATTCTTTCGAAATCAAATTTTTCATTATCTAAGGCGAACGAGAAGTACGGTCGACACGATATCGATAACATAGCGAATGAGATGATGGAGACGAAATCTCGAGATGAGGTCCGCTATTTATATATTTGTTGGTATCATTGTTTCTGTGAAGACCCCACACCAAGTTAAGGTTCTACTTAAAGTTGGGTTAGCGGGGAACGTGAAGTAGTGATCTAGTAAAGGGTGAATCGAGCTTACTTGTTTGCATCAAAGCAAAAAGCATCTCGCTAATTTTGATCTGCTTGCTAGAATTCGTGTTGTAACGTTACTATAAGGTTGGAATATCAGTCTTGCAACACTTTGGACGGCTTTTGAATTTTATATTTATTAATTTTATTGATATTTATTTTGTGATTTGGTAATTTGATATTTTTGTTAATGTTTATATTTTATTGTTTTCACATTTGAAAAAGGCTTCGGGTTTTCCTTGGAGGAACAAAGTGTTGCAGGACTAATAGTAAAGTTTCAAATGTTGTACTTCTCTTGTTCTAGTGGCCGGAGGAACGTACTGATAAGCGATCTCTCTTGCCCCCATGCTCGACCCTGATTTACTTCCATTCACTTTTGCTAGTCAATGTTATGTGATTATGTGCATATACTGTAATGACAGATTCACATTGCAGGTCGAGTATTATGCAAAAATATTTTGGGAAAGGTTTGAAGAACTTCAAGATCACGAGAAAATTCTTGCTCAAATTGAGAAAGTGAGTTGTTCAACATGTGTTTATGACATGGGTGTGCAAGCATAATTACGTTTTAGTTCACCGCCAAAATCTATTGTTTACAGGGTGAAGCACGGATTCAGCGACGTCAATCCGTTAAGCGTGCTCTAGACGCTAAAATAGCTAAATATAAGGCCCCGTTTCATCAACTACGTATTGCATATGGTACCAACAAAGGAAAAACCTACACCGAAGAAGAAGACAGGTTTATAATGTTTTCAATTGTTTACCTGTTTCACTTATTGTTGATACTGTTACGGTAAATGTTTGTTGAGGTGATAGTCAAATCTTCTCAGGTTCCTTGTTTGTGAGCTGCACCGGTTGGGCTTTGACAAGGAGACAGTCTACGAAGAGCTTAGGCAGTCGATACGAATGGCCCCACAGTTCCGGTTTGACTGGTTCATTAAAAGTAGAACTGCTATGGTGATTCATTGCCAGTGTTACTAAGCAGGGATTTCAACCTCCAATGGAAATTTGAATGATGACATAGGTTTATCGGAAGTGTGTAGAATGCTGTTTACGAACAAGAAGTTGAAACTCATGAGCTCTAAGTTTCGCTTGGAGATATTTTCTATTGAAGTGCGCAGCTGTCCACGCCAGAGCAAGCGCCTCTTGGTGCAGAACTAGTGCTCCTACTTATTAGGCGGCGGTTATGGGTTATGGTTCCCGCTGTCGGTGCAGTTTTTGCATACGTGTTTTTACCTAATGGAGCTTTTATAACCTTTTTCTGATGTTGATTCAAGCAAGCGCCGGCTGTCGTTTGCGCTCATCGCATTAACATAAGACATATCATTTTTGCATGTTATTTGTACTGTTTTTTTAATGATTGTCTATGATTTGTTGTATGAAGACTAAGGAGTAGTATAGCAGCAAATGCCTACTGATCTGTCGTGTCGAAATTTCCATCTACCCTTGAAGTACGATAAGCGTTAGCGATAGCCGAAACAAAGGCGCTCATTTAAACACTGAGCAGGAAAGGTTATAAAAGTTTTTATTGGTATAGAACCACAGAGCGAAAAAAAAANAAAAAAAAACTGCGACGACGACGACAAGTAAAAACACGACCTCAGCCTGATAGTTGAGAGCACTACTCTGTGCTCTGAGGCGCGTGCTTCAGAGCGAGCGGCTGCGCACCTTAACTGGAACTATCTACAAGAGAACTTTCAGAGCTCACAACTTTTTGGAAAATGCGTAACCAGTTTAACTCCAATCTAATCCCTACCGCTGTACCTAGATCTTCAATCGAACTTCCATGGTAAGTTGAAACCCCTTCCTGGTGAGTTCCTGATTGCATGTTGTCTTTAATCATGAGTTCCAGGAGTTGCAACGTCGGTGTAATACACTAATAACATTGATCGAAAAAGAAATGGGAGAAACCGAAGTGAAACATCGTGCAAAGAAGGATACAAAGGACAAAAGTAGTGTTCCATCAGGTATGGATATGGTATCGTTAAACAGTAAACATATACGTTGTTGTCAGAGTTTCGCAAACTTATCTTGCACTGATTTCTTTTCATCTTCATGGGAGGATACTAGGTTGCTTGGGTTAATACCGCATTGTGTTTTCGGACGCTGTTTAGGTGCGTGAAACAGTTCCAGGAACGAAGTTACAAAAGCGTTTTCACCTTGTAGCATGGGTTTCGTTAAATGGATAAGGAGACCAAGTCAGCGGGCTGATGTGCAGCAGAAAGCAAATCCGCTACGCAACAGCACTATCCGGTGTTGCGCAGCTTGTAATGTTCGATTTTATAGTCGCTTATTGGCTCAGGGATCTGTTCACCTGTATCGACATGCGCCTGCATTTGTTATGACACCTGATGGAAGTATCGGATCCATTCTTGCAGAAGAAAACGTGGGCTTTTACCGATTGCGCGCCCGTTAGAACTACTTTGATTTTGCGTACCATGGCAACTATGCTTCCTTAGGGCCTTTCTATCAGTCCATTTTCCCGAAGATTATATCCTTTTGTTGTGATGCGGTTAATACTCGTTATGTTCACGACCTCAATCAACACCTGTTTTTACGTATTCTCCTCTCTTATCCGGTAATATTGTTTGGGGACATCTGCGATCCATGTGATTAAGAGTTTTTGGCTAATTTACGAATTTATCCGGTACGGTATAGGCTGCGGCATACCATTAGCTAAAGTTCATTCATTGAAAGAAAAGAAGTTAGTTCATTCTGAAATGCTTTCCGAACAATCTCATACTTAAAGGCTACTGCGGCCTAGTATCCTTACCTTGTGAGTATCCATATTTCATGAAGGACTTTCTTTATAGAGGGTGGCGGTTCAACACCTTCGAAAACGACGACGGGAAAAAAAGTCGGTCGACCAAAGGCGAAATGAATTCCTTTCTATCATCTTGCATTGTATGACGCCGCTTTCTCATTTTTAAGTGAGGAAGTTTACCAACTTGGTTTCTTGATTATCAGTGATTCGAAATCGTTTCATCGCTTCAGACCTGCATCGCTTTTGAAGCTGTTCTAATTCTGTCTGATCTCTACCTGACCTCGGTCTACTTATTTTGTGCACTTATTCATGTATACCCACCACGCAGTTACCTAACCGTCTACTAGACAATTAAATTAAACCCTTTCATCGTACGCTCTGACACGGGGCTGCGTGTCAAAGCGGGTACAGGTGTCCACCCCGTGCGTGTACGTGCATGTTCTATATTGACTACCACTCTATGTACTTTTGTGTATTGAGCCATTGAGTAACACGATAAAAATTTGCGAAATTGCTTCACGTGTAAACAGTTATTTCATGCTCTAATTGTTACAGCATAACCAGTGTTCCAGATGCGAAAAATGCCCTGCTAAGCATGCTTCGAGATTGGATGTGTTACAAGTATGAAGAACTGGACAACGCTTGCAATTCGCAGATCGCTAGCGGCTGTGCCGATTTGCAACTCGTCAAAAGGTCATCAGTTGTTACTCACTAGTCAGATCGCCCGGCTAACGCCGGGCTTCTCTCCCTCTCATGACAGTTCTAATAATCGGCTAAGCGGCAACTTCTCTGGAACAAATACTTTTCTGAACACGAAATTTGACGCAGGACTAATAGGGCAATGCAAGTGGTGTTCAGTATGTACCTATGCTTATGCCTATGATTAGAAGTCTCGATCTCGTGCTACTCATTCTAAAAAAAGCAACCATCGAATATTTAACTATATTAGGCAATTGAAGCCTTGAAGGGTGCTCACTGAAGTTGTCAAGTTATAAGAACCCCTTCATCAATGAAGCTTCTGTTCTTCAAGCAAACGTATTGACTGAGCAAGATTATTGACTGTCCCATAGGTTTTGCCTCAAATGATATCGATACGAAGGGGCACCGCACACCTTCACCTAATCATCGTCAAGTCGTCCGGTTTACGCCGAGCCTCATAGCTTGCTCTTACCAATAAGTTAAGTGTAACAAATTGAAGTCAGTGGAGTCGTCGTCGGACATCATGTCAAAGAATCTTTAGTTCTGCTTCGTCGTTGACGGTTGGCTTCAAGTTCGATTGTAACCGAACAGATCATTCAAGCTCGCTTCCAGTCCCTGAGTATCTCTTGACGCCAAATAGCTAACGTTTCCGCGTTTTCAGATCGTCGTCTTCTTTGTAGACGCATTGCCTCGTCTTGTAACCTGCTCGCTCGTTTTTCCACTTGGCATTTCAGACACACATCTCTGACTGCTGAATATGTTCACTTGTCTGCAATCTGCACTATCATTCCTCAGCGGTTTCTCGTTCTCTGTTTCTTCGCTACGTTGATGAATCTTCTGCTCATCGCACCTCTATGTCCTCTGACTCTGCTAGCTCGCTGACGCTTGCCGACATTCTTAACATTCTTATTACATCTCTCTCGTCCTTAAACGTTCAATACTCAGCACTTCCTCCCATTTCCCTCAAGGCGGATAACATCTTTACCCATTTTCGGCAGCCGTTCTGCATCTGTAAAATGGTTTGGACAAGTAATACATACTGAGATGACACGATAGCCGCCAGTTTAGAAATGATTAGCTCTTGATGAAACGATGCAGGAATTATCACGTTCAAACTTTATGGAGTAACAACTATGTTGAGAAAAATCAGTCCTACCAAGGTCAACTTATCCAATAAGATCATCTCGAACAACACCACAACAACAGTATAAGAAAACAATATTAATAATTATTGGCTGTCAGGAAGCCACTGCAACCTCTGTCTCGTTCGTGATTTTCTTCATCTTTCCGGCAGCTTTTCGAGACTGTCTCGCCTTCCGTTTTCGAATTTTATTCTCTTTAGCACTCTCCATCTTCTCCTCCTGCAAAAAATATTCTCCTCCTACAAAAAAATAACAGGGACAAATGATTGAAACCGCTAATTGAAGGGTAACCAGGTCAGACTGCACCTTTCTCTTGAAATAATCAAACATGTTTTGATGAGTGACGTTCTTGAAATAACTAAGTATGGGATCTCTTGACATTGACAACGATCGCAGCACTTCGGTCGGGACATGTGCGGACCGGGAGCTCCCATCAGAGAGGTTGAATACTAACACAGAACTGCTGAAAAAGTCAGAACTAGTGCCAGTGATGCATTTTTACGGACACCTGTTGTGCATATTTTAGCATAAAATTTATAGTAATCGATGTCTTGTCAAACTGTCATCTGAACAATGCAAGAAACTAATATACGAAATAGAAAATGTTATTAAAAAAGGAATCGCGCAGTAACCTCACAAAGCGCTCAATGATATACACTGAATAAGCATCTCAGTCACTATCGTAATATCGACTGAAGGGTAAAAAAGCATAAAGTAAAAATTTGTTCGCAAATTTATGAACTGCTCCAATCTAAGCCTGTAAGAAATGTCAACAGCGACTCAATGTCGAATGTAATTATGTGAACCGTGCGATAAGGACAAGATCTCGAGGGGGAGCTTAGTTAAGTTTGCGCAGGCTTAGCACGTACCAGGCCTTTCTCACCACTCCTTTTATTTTGTTCTGATGCCCAGGCCTTGTTGGAAACAAACTATGAATTCAACACTGAAAGACCCTCTCACATCAAGTCTCTCCTTCCACAGTAGGTGGGCCTCCTTCGTCTGATTTGTTGGAGCATTCCTCAACCTCTTTTTTTCCGGCTCCTGGGCTTCCACGAGTATAAGATGATTAGCCCTTGGCATCACCCTCTTACAATGCATGCCCAGCGCCTTGGAGGAGAGCTCCGCTGAGCTCATATGCGCCCAGTTGGTCTTGTTCTACGCTCCACCCATCTCGAACGTGTTCCAACCTTTTCAGGTGTTTTAGAAGTCATACCGAATTTTGCGACCCACATACAAACAAACAAACAAACAAACATACCTGCATACATACGTACATACACACACCAAACTTGTAGATTATATACAGTAAGGATAATAGGTCCAATAATACTCCATGGAACCAAATGAATCGAACCTCACACAAGTTGATCACACTGTTTCTTCACACTGCCCATTTTGGATTCAGCACAAATCTTATGCCCGAGCTAATGTGTCCGAATGAATTAATTTCATTCTAACGTCTAACAAAATAATACGCAAGTGGCAAGACATAGTTTCGAGTGTGGAAGTCAAAGATATTTTTTGAAAAGTGGAATTCGAAAGAGTGCTACAGTTCAGTTCAACATACCTGCTCACACCAATGATGTTTCCTTTGTGCCAGGTAATATCCATCAACGGATCGGACGAGCTGAACTTATTGACAACTTTTAACTTTTCATCGAGTACTGTTAACAAAGTTCCAGCGATGGCGGCTATGCAGACCTTATTTTCCTGGAAAAAAATTGAAATTACCTAAGAAGATGAACGCACTGAACGAATTACGTTTGTATGAATCAAAAGTGGGTAATATATTAAAAATCTTCCAGCTCCAGAAAACCCCTCAAAATGCATAGAATTAAAAGATTATTAACGAAAGTCATAAAAAATCTCACCGCTTCGCAAATGCACATTCGTCGTACGGGATTTTCGCTCACCTTCTCTGACCTAGAAAGACATGTCCCTCTCTCCATATCCCACTCATGCACGACACTATCTCCACCTGTTTAAAAGATATATATTTATGTATATTTGTAGATCCGAAGTTTCCGTATATTCAACAGTAAAAAATGAGTAAAAAGTTTCGATCGACTCTTCATCCTTTTCTAGGTTCTTCTGTAGGGCCACTCGGAGGCAGTTCGTATTGGACTATGGAAGACCGCTCCCGAACCTGTACTTTAGGGGATATACATATAAGTATGCCCTTGTAGGCGTTTCGCAAATATGGCTTCAACCTTCGACTATCAACCAAAGCTGTTTGAGAGCTATATTACGAATTACTATAAGGGCATAATCCATCGACGGCTGCCGCACGTCTCAGCAGTGTCATCGTATCTCAGCCCAGGGTGCCTCGTGGCGAAACACATACTTACCTACATGCATACATACATACATGTATACATGAATACATACATTCATACGCTTTCATTCCGCAATAAGATGTTGTGAACATTACCAACCACTTGAAAACAGACGTCCGCCGTGAAGAGCAATGGTACTAACGTAAGCAGAATGTCCGAGACAGAACGACTGTATGGCATAGGCCTAAATAGAATAATCAGTTTCAATCATCCGACGATAAACAAAGCTCGTTGAATGAAAGGAAGATGGACTCCTGGATACACACTATCAATCGCAGCACTTTCGCAATGAAAAGCTTCAGACTCATTTCCTGCCATTTATTCAGGTATGCGTCTTGTTTCGGTTATCATTGACATTATTATTATTTGAGATGAGACGTTGAGACGCCCTTATTTGAAATGCAGTGTTCCGCGCATTAGTTCTATACTTGATTCTATTAAACGTTCAACATCGCTACACCTAGGAACAGATACATCAGAAAATTTGAACATTAACAAAGTTGTAGAAGAAAAAGTGAAGCAAACACGTTGTTAGCGAACTTTCACCTAATTCATTTTATAGAGGAAAGAGACGATCGTCTAGAGTCCAAACATGAAGAACTAGGGCACTTGCTCATCAGTGAAGACACTCATGTCTTTAAAAATAAAAGAATTGTGTAGAACCTCTGCGCTTACATGTTTACCACGAACTTGGCGTGACATTCCATCAAACATTGCAATGACCACCGAGATCTTCAACTGGCATGTTATCAAATGCTTGTTTCGATGGGGGACGGGGAGATGGGGGGGGGGGGGGGTATAAATGGCCAAAGTGCAACGAATTCCCATTTCATCTTCGTTGGGGTACACATATTCCACAATGGAAAGAAGGTAAACAACAAAGTACATGATTTCAAGACCCCTTCTTGATTTTCCGAGTTGTCTCGGTTAATATATGGAGGCATTAGTGAGTGTAAGTGGTCGTCAAGTGCAGTTTGCTAGAAATATGCGCTCTTGATAGACGGCTTATGCAGTTATTCGTTGAATGAGGAAACGGTTTCCCCCGTTTTCTGGGAGATAGCGATTACTGTATTGCTAAGGCGATTACGCTTCAGGTTCGAGAAAACCATTATTAGAAAACACAGGATGCGCACGGTATCGTGCGCAGGTCAACTGGTATCACATAAAGAAATGCTAACATAGCTGCCTTCCTACCAGCTGCCATCGTTTCGCAGATTTGGAATGTGGATATAAAATCAGCGTACGAAAACACATATATGGACATAGAGCCCATCTTAAATGGCCACTGCGACCCAGCATCCCTCCCTTGTTAGACTAGCCCATAAGCCAAATCACACTATTGTTACGCTCCTGCCCAGCACCGCTTGAGTTCCAGAAACCTTAGTGAAACAAGTTATCCATCTTTGGAACCAACCTGTGGATAGCGTGAAATCCGAACTTTCTCATCGCGATCAGCTACAAGTAGGTATCGACCATCTTCAGAAATCGCGACGTCAAGAACCATGGAAATGGTACCCAAAAGAGGTCCACCTTCACATGAACACCAGTCTCCTGAAAAAAAAAGAACATGGAAAATACCCGGAAGAAACACAATTGTTTTGGACATGGACACAAACATGGATGATTTCCGCTTCTAAGATGTCTGAAATACAGGTGGCTTCAGCCTTGCTGTAGTAAATACTAAAAACTGCAAAAGAAATCAGTATCATGGAAATGTAATGATCCTCTCTATGCTACTTCAATTTAAGCCCACCCCTCCCTTTACACAAGGTTTTTCCAATGAACTGGTTCATGATATGCGTGGGAAAAACAGAGGCACGAGTATTCGGTAGAAGGATGAACTGAAAAGACAAGCTAAAAAAAAAGGAAGCATACCATTCATATCCGTATAACCGCTGGTACTGGTGGTAGCAACGGTATACCTACACACGTGGCCAGCCCGATCCCCCACAACAACATGTGAATCATTCTAAATTGAGTGAAATGCATCAAACAGATGTAGATCAACGGATTTCTAGCCCAGAATACCTGATCAAAAGTGATAGAGGTTGGTGCTTTTGGAATTCGGAAACATCTTTGCACTTTTAGCGAGGGTAAATTCAAAATGAGCACAGTCTTTGCAGAAGTAGCAACGGCCAACAGTGATTTGCATCTTGACACTGTGGAGGACAAAATCTGAATAAATAAAAAGTAATGATGATAAATTGCTGAATATGGATATGCGCCTGTACAACGTTCTTCGGATAAACATCTTGCAAGATATCTTAAACCTTCTCGAAGAAAGATTTGCGTAAGAACTCTTATTTGTAGAGATTTTTTTGCTTGACACTTTAGAGAGAACTGAAATAGCTCTTACTAAAAACTGATGTTGGGTGTGTGTTTAAGAACCAACGCTGCCGCATTGCAGAACGATCAGCTCAAACTCGTCAACTGTTTAGGTTTACAGAAAAGCGAACTTCGACATGGGCGTCACCAATTTCCTTTGAGTCTTGTTCTTGCTCCTGGTTCTTGAGTGTTTCCTTCAGCAGAGAAAGTGATCCCTGCTCTTCATTTATATCCAGTTTGCCCTGGAATTTTCGTTTCAAAAGCATAGAGAAGTGGGGTGAAAGTAAGATCAAGAAATCCACCAACACCTATGAACAATTCGTCCTCCGAAATCTTCAACACATATATTTGTGATGATGCGCACAAAACTAAACAGTCACCCGCACTGTGGACGGTTGCCATAAATAAATAAAGAAGCTTGAATTGTCGAAATTTGTTTTGATGGACTCGAATCTCAAAATTAGAGCGCGGAGTGGCACTGGAGCGTGAGCAGTAAAGCCTCGAGCAGTTCGAGTGGATTGAATTTCCTCCGGATTATTAATATGAGTCAGCTACGTCTATCCTTTTGACGGTGAAAATGTGGTTGGAAGAGGAACAATACGCTCTTTTGGTCTACTCGTGTTTCCAAACGTTTACGCGTCTTTCTCCGTGCTATCTCACAAGGGAAGGATCACAAGTCGTAGTGGCCATTAGCAATGAGATGCATACTGCTATACGTACTTCAAATTTGCCTAACGATACTTCGAACAAAGTTATGAAGGTGGTCTCAGGTAAGTTCTTAACGCAAACGAGCACATAGGACTTGGAAGCAAAAGCACTGATAACGGTGGTTTAGAGCAAAGGTAAGAGTGACTCTTCATAGGCATGAGACCATGGATCGGGTTTCGTGAGAAGTGGTGTTGTTGCATTTTCCTTGAAGACGGGGAAACCATGGTGATTCACCGCCCTTGGGGGCCTTTTGATGCCTGGGGTGATTCGTTTCTCACCTAATCCGTACGATATCACTACTAACACATTGCTTACCCAAGTACATCAGTTCCTCTGTGGGACTTATAAAGGAAATGCACACACTGCAATTTTTAGCCTCCTTAGGGTCGAAGGGTACAGAGAGGGTCGTGCTATCAGTTTCTGGTAGAAGTCGCTTTTTCACGGTTATGTCTTGTCTTTTCGCCGTGTCTTGCCTGTCTTGCGTTGGAGCTGGTCCAGGCCTTCTGTGGAAATATTCTGCATTACCCTACGTAGACCTGACTTTGATAAGAAATCACTGGCGAGATTCCGAAGCAGGAACTCTCCCGTACATGGAAATTAGATGTCTGACATGAGCGCCTAAAACGCTCATTATGAGCAAGCACTTCGAATTAGGGTGGCACTCACCAATATAAATTTGCTGTGTGAACTTTTTAGGATTTTTCGTAGGTCATGTAGCTATCAAAAAAAGCAAATGAAGATGAAGAAAGTCGGTATCTTCATCTGTTTCCTGTCGTTCAGTAAAATGTTCAAAAATATCACCACATGCGTATGCGCTCATGATCTCCTTTTGCGCGCACTCACTCTGCTCTCCGCTCATTATCATTTGTCTAGTGTCACCGCTGGCCTCTTGAGCAATCATTCAGGTGATTTTGAGACGCCTGTAAAACAGTGCCTCCTGTTCGGTTTGGTGCGTGATTTGAACATACTGTGAATGTGCAGTGAACGAAGCAGGCAGATTGAGCGACTGTTGCCATTGACGTGGGGATCTCTCGTCTTATACAGCAACACTGTCTTATTAGTTTTCCACGGAGGGGCACATTGCATTTCGACAGGTACCGCGTGATGAGCCTAGCCAGAGTGCTGACGACACTGATAGAACATTTTTCAGATGTTCTGGTTGATCCTATCGGGACCGGGCGCCGTACAACTCTTCATCAACGTGATGGCATGTCGATTGTGGAAGGAAAACGAAAGGAGCGACATAGTCGTTCTGCCTAAGATGGTGGGTAGGCAGTTAGACGCGGCTGTCGAAGAGATCCGAGTAGAAGTCGTAGATGACCTTCTCCATTGTCCTTCGAGATGCAGTAACTGTTCGACGAAGGGAAGTTACTTTGGTCTTGTAATTGGCGAAGCTTCGTCAGTCCTTGCGAATGCCCTTTCCGGTCTCGCTGGTTTCGTCCATAACTGCTGCTTTTGCCTCTTTCAGATCTTTTATCGCCTCTCTGCACAGCTTCGGAAGTTCGGACGGTTGTCGATGCCTGCAGCTCGCGCGATTCCACGCTGGCATATCAGCTCGAGAGTTGGGAGTCATCCCTTAGTTACTTGAAAATCTACTTTCCTAGCACTATCATGAAGGTGTCCCAGTTGATGGAGGTCTTGGGGCTTAGATTCTTAAACCTCACAGCTCTCTCTCCATGCATTGAGACAACAGCGACGCCAGTCAGGCAAAACCCCCGATTGACAATGATGGGGTCTATTTCATCATGAAACAGTCCACCGAGTGAATCCAATGTCCATCGAAAATGAGAGGGCTCCTAGAACTGCGAGTAACCATGGAAAGTGTAGGTTCACATGACGAACTCGGATACCTTTTACCCTGCTCACTCCATTCCATTCCGTTATTCTCTTCGGCTGTTCTTCTGTGGGCAGTCTTGGCGTTGGAATCATCGACGGTGACCTTGAAGAAAGTAGGGTCTTTTCTGTAGGGTCTCTCCCGACCATATGAAACGGTTCCAGCTCATCTTCTTCGTAGCCCAATGTTGGTGCATAGGCAACGAAGTTTAGGAGAGCTGCGCATCTTCTTAATCGCAACTGCCCGATTAGGCATATCAACGTATTCGTCCGTATCGGTGTTCATGGCTGATGCGTGTTGACAAGACACCTACATCGCCGACGTCTCTGCTGTCCCGTAATCCAAAACAGTTCTTCTCCGGTTTCAAAAATGGAGTGCAGCGTGCGATGCCTTCACGTCTTGGTCATTCCGATGGCGACGAACTTGATCCTCTTAGCCTGCATCATCAGGTCCTCTATACACGCTTCCGATGCAGGCGTTCATGCGTTGGAAGTAGAGATCGCCGTCTTATACTTCTCCTTTTGGGCAATCTGTTTTTTTCTTCCTGAGACTTGACCGGCCTCTGCCAGCACCAGCGTTGGGTAGGACCGCTCGGGAAAGCTGGTAAAGTCTCAGGAAAAAAACAGACTGCCCAAAAGGGCTCCCTAATGTTGAGAGGTATGGGGCCCATTCATATTACTGTTTCTGATATATGGGCACCCAACGAGAGCTTGCCAGGCTCTAACGTGTGAGCGGGATTGACTTCGGGTGCTAGTCAGGCTATCCCAAAATAGACGAGGGGCTTTTTTTTGGAGATGGCCCAGAATCGCCTCCCACATACTTCCCACACACTCGAATGCAAGCTTTTGGCTGAGTCGATGAGCAGCTGCACCCACTAACTCGCCACATATGTATGCATGGATACACCTGCAAGAAACTTAAGGTGTATTGACCATCGATGTATCACGCGTCCTCTTATCTCACGCGGCCCTGAACACAATCTGTCCAGTGTTGTCAACAAGTGGCTAGCGTCGTCGGTCGGTCGGTCGGTTTGTCGGTCGAAAGGCGTGTCTGGCACCTTCTCCCCGAACGGCGTGTCGCACTCGCCGCACGCGATCGCGCGCTATTAAGGGAAAGATTTGGATTCTCACTGGAAGGATAAGGTGAGTCGCGTGGAACCGGGGCCGCAGTTCGCTGGAATTCGGGAAGAAGTTCCGTTACCTGTAGGAAGGCACGGTCGCTCGTGAGATGGGTCCGCGACCGGTCGCGCGACCGGTCGTGGACTATGAAAGATGCCTATCATGGGATGATGTGACGAGAGTGCTTAATTACGAAAGAGCTCTACGCAGCCCTGTTTGGAAAACACACGTTCCAACGCAAACACCGCCAGCAACGGTACAGATAGAGCACTCAGACGTGTGCCCAGTGCTACGGAGCGGAATGCGTCGAGATGCCTCCTCTACAGCCTGCTTGCGGTTCCAGTTCTGTGCCTTCTTTCTCTAGCATAGGAGCACAGCATAGCTTGCGCGCCAATTCCAAAAATGCACCACTGAATTCTAGTTATACCATCACCCACCCTGTTTCCTTGCCTAAACTCCTTGTTTGTGCACTGAATATGGTTTTGGAGGACGCAACATTCACCCTGTTCTAGACGGACATGGCAAACAGCGTGGCGAAATTCAAGGTGATCAAACGACTGGCGCCTATCATTGACTTACGACCATCGGCGTTCGCTGGCCACGTAGAGACAACACTGGCCAATCAAACGCAATGTGTCCGGTACTGTCACCACGTGGTCGGCCGGTCGGTCGGTCGTTGAAGTTTGAAAGCTGTTATTGGGACACAAATTCGAAGCACTGTATATAAGCAGCATCAACTGGCCCTACTTATCCAATCCACTCTAAACCTCTGCCCCTGAATATAGGCGCCCGATCGTCAAAACACCGCGAATTTCGCGCCACAATAAAGGGGACCGAGTTCAAGTAGTCCGTAGGCAACCCTTAAGCTGCTTTCAGAGGCTGCTTTCATAGTCCGCCGGCCGACTGACTAAAAAGCGGCCAAACTTCGACGTCTGTCCGTCCGCCCGTCCGTCAGGCGCGTTGCGTGTGTGCGACGGCGGCCCTAGCCACTTATTGGCACGTGATTCAGTGCTGTGAACAAGTGGTTAGGGCCGCCGTCGCACGCACGCAACGCGCTTGATGGACGCATGGACGGACCGACGGACGGACCTCCAAAAGCAGCCATACTCGAGGTTATGGGGTGTGTGTGGCCGAATTCGGACCTCGACGTCCGTTCGTCCGTCCGTCTGACGTGTCGCTAGAGTAGTGTTGACAGCGCTGGCACGTGATCCAGTGTTGCCAATAAAGGTCAGGCGCAGGCCTTGCAATCTACTCCGCGTCGGACGGACGGACGGACGGACGAACGGACGGTCGTCGAGGTCTGAAAGCAGCCTGTACATTCGTGCGATTCGAACTGGGCGGGGCGAATTTCATAGCGATTCTGACGACTTTAGTGCTTATTATTGGGGCCCAAATTTGAAGTAGAGCAGAAGTAGATCAGCTGACCATACGAATCTACTCCACTTCAAGTTAGTGCCCAATACTAGGCACCAGAGTCGTTCGAATCGCCACGAATTTTGCAGCTCATTTTGCTGTGCACAGCTCGAATCGCACAAATAAACCGTCCCCCGAGTTATGCCGTGTAAGAAAATGCGTTCTCTGCAGAAATTCTGCAGAATTCTGAGGAGGCTCCCGTGGGTACGTGATCGTTGGCGATCAAGAATAGCGTTAAGTATGAGTAACACGAACGGTTTTTGTACGAGGTGCAGAATTAGTGCATACACGGTTGATACTCTGAAAAAGCGCTTGAAGCACTCGGTTTTTTCTGCGTGCGTTTTTTTCGGTCGCCGTCGGTCGGTCGATTACAAGTTGCATATTGCCGTGTAATGGCCCGACAGTACCTCGCTACTCAATTTTCCGCACCTTCTTTCCCTGGCACTAAAAATACTATTATTGACTGGGACGTGCATTAGCTACACCGTGGTTGTAGCCAGGTCCATGCAATCTTTCAGACTTTAAAATTCATGAAGATTTGCTTCCAAACTGCTCTACTGAGAAAATGTACGTAGGGGGTGGGGATGGGCACACAACAGTGGTAGGTATATCAAGGAACCAGTTGGGCTACGCATGCAAACGCGTCCATCACATGCCCACAAGTGCTTACCTAAAAATTGTTAGGGGATCAAATAAGCAGTTATCGGTAGATTTCCTATTTCACAATTGTTTCCTCACCGCGCCCACTTGACGTTTCATACTCTACGTCACGCCTGCGTGACTTTCCGCGTACAGACGCACGATGCAAACACACAGACACGCAAAGTTAGCGCTTTATATGTAGAGGGATTACAGTTACGGGTTACTTCGTGTTACATCATGGACATGGAATTTATTGACTAAGCCTTGGGGGGAAAGACCACCGAGGTAGGCGAGTTTTCAGTTTTGGTAACGTAGTAATAATCTCACCCATCCCAGTGTTCGTACATTCCTAAGGCTCAGTTAAAAAACCACATCCCCTGGCTAAAACCTCAACCTCGTAAGAATGCCCAGATAGCCGCTGTACATCCTCCTTTTTGCCTCCGTTACAATGCTTGTATAACACGGAATAACACGTCGCACCGTGTTCATTTCTTGTTATACTAACGCTGTGCTATTGTGAATGGCCCCCTTCCCCCTCCCCCCTCCATTCCTTGTTCCTGGCTTGGTTTTGTTCATTTGGGAAAGCAGCTCCGCTCGTCACCACAGTTTCATTGTTTCGCTAGCATAGAATCACATTCTCTTTTATTTTTGAGAAATGTATTAGGTCATAAGCGGTCTTAGTAAAGCTAGTTATTTTTTTATTAGTTGTAGTCAGTCAGTACAATTTCTAACAGCTCATGTTGGCGCGTCTTGGGACGCAGGAATAAATAAACAAACAAATAAGTGAATGGTATGGTGGTAGTGTTTGGTGATTCCGGGAGCATCACTTCAATGTGCTGCCATTTTAAGGTTCTGTTAGATACGATCTGGTCGAGCACGAAACGATAAGAACTTTCTGCTCGTCCGTTCCTTGATTACAGGTTGCTGCAAACGTACAGGCCGTTACCTATTTCTGCGAACTCCCCTTTTCCAATCGATTTTTTAGAAATTAATATTGTTTCAACTTTCCTTCCGGTATCCACTAGTTCTATTGCTCCAACCTTCCCTCCATTTTTATCCACCGCTATATTTTTTATATTCCCTTCCGTTACTCTAACGTTGTTATGAGAAGTATATAGAAGGTATCAATATTTCAACTGTACCGTGAAACTTTTGAACTTGATAGGATTACTCTTCATCTATGTTATCTTAATAGAAGATCTACTCATTCCACTTTTGCGGGAACGAAACACGCTAGACATACTCGAGTACCAGCTATACAATAGGTGACCGCATGAAGTGCAGTGAATATTTCAGCCCATTGGATTGTTAGCTGCATTAGTTATTATATGCCGTTACTTAATGTTGGGCACCTCACCACGACCTCGGGAGCCAGCAAAACGCATGCAGACGAGCAAATTTGGAACGGTGTGCTCTTAGAACTCGATGATGAAGAAAATTCGGTGAGTCATGGTGACCTAGAGTTGCTTTTGAGAATAAGTCAGCTTTTCAATCATGGTCTAATGCAGATGGCTGCAGTGAACTCAGTAATGGGAACGAATGGTGCTTTTGTACCGTCGAACTATTCCGATATGCGTTTTCGTTGTGAGCAAAAGAACAGGGACAAAAGAGTAACTCCAGCTGATCAGCGGAATGATGCACAGCTTGTCGATTTCAGCACGTTGGTTTTGAATCAGCGCAGCTCCTTTTACTTTACTTTTTTTTTGCTTTTTGATTTTGTGAAGCTATGCAGAATGTTTGCAATTTTTACTGACTACTCTGTAATTACACTTGAAACATTCTTCCCTCAACCGTTCAATCATCTCTAGTTAGATGTGGGGAAATATCCTAGAGAAAACTCTCGAACAAATGGGCAACTGGGCACTAANTAAGCACATTCTATGAGCAGAACTGTAATCCATACACAACTTGCTTGCTTGTGAAATACGATATTGAGGTCTTTGTATAATAGAATGATAGCAATCTTGAGGGCAGAGCGAGCGTGCCCTTTATATTTGCCGTTAGATACTATCCATGCGTGAGCTTAACGGTAATGTGGGGCTATGAAGGTTCATTGAATTGCATTACTGGTGGTTCTGATGGGAAACCGTAACGTATTCTTTCTCAGGTTCCGAAAAACTGTAAATTTTTATTTGTTCCTTTTAACACGTTGGCGACCATGCGTCCCGATGCTAGACACACGCTTTTGGCTCGCTGGGGTATTTACATTATTTATCAGGTGTTCCTACAATTTTTTTTCATGTTTTCATGTATCAGCTGAGCTCGTAACCTTCTAGAGAATCATGAAGCATTGCGGTCCAGGAATCATTCGTTTCTAACTACAGATACAAGAGAAAATAAAGGTTAATGTAAGGACAATATAAAAGCGCGGTCGCCAGTGAGTTAATTGAGTAGCTTCTTGGTGATTTCACTTTTCATGAAGGGAGCCGTTGGACCAAAATTCAATAAACTTGTCCGCCTTTTCCATGCGGTCCTTGTCCTGTGCGTATGTGTACTTCGCCTTTGCGTTCTACGTGTTTTTCTCACTTCCCTTGGTCAAGAATTATATAATTATGTGTGCAAAATGTTTCGGTAGTATGTGTTAGGAAAGTCCCAAGAAATATCAAAGCTCTACATTAAACTAACTTTCCTCAAGGTAAAATCGTAGGCAATTTCAGGAGCGGGTGGTACTCCCCAGACGAATCGACGATTGCTTTGCTCGAATATCCTAGCATAGGTTTCCAGTTCGATCTCGTTCTTCCTGAATTGAAGTGCTCTAAAATGAAGGTAACAAGTTGCTGGTAATATCTTTAAGTTTAACGAATCCGATAAATAGAACAAGGTTGATTAAGGAGCCCTCTTTATTTTCTGATGTTACCCTGCTTTTTTACTATGTTCTTTACCACCTTTGCTTTTATGAAAAGGTTTTGTTATAGATTGATCCAGGAACGCTACTGAAGCCTCTTTCTGAGCTCGACGACCCGCGGATAGTTAGCTTTCTAAGACAGCAATCTCGACGCAAAGACGCTATTCATGCGCGTGATGTGCTCAACCCATACGTTTACGCTGTCGTACCGCAAGCCGACGTTATGCGATTGACTGATGGTCAAGCTATGTAAGTCATCATGTGTACCTTAACATGTTTGCAAAAAAATACCTTTCAAGCCTAAAAAGCGTATGGATGCAGAAGGACCGAACGACTCAGCTCCTTATTAGTTAATATCTCCTGATGGGTCGCTTGTTTACGCTGAGCTGAAAAAATTACTGTTAATTGCTCCTCACGTAGTGTAGCTGTATTTTTCTTCAAAAATTGTTGGCCAGAGTTTCCTTTTTGCATTTTCCACTTGCAGTTTCTGGTCCCTCGGCATATTCTTGTAATTACTCGGTTTAGGCTGCTTTTGGCCATCAGTGAGTGTGAGCGACGGGTTCTCCTGTACAAGGACTTTGAGACATTTGAATTTGTTAGCAGTTTACGAGAGGGTGATGCCGTTTGTGTAGAGGTGGGAACACTACTTTCTTTTCAGTTTGAAGCATCCTTGCATACATTCTCATTCTCCTTGATAATCCTTTTGGTTTCTTCATATTATACGATTACTCTCAAGCGGAAAAGGCTCCCTGAAATTTGCTCCCAACATGCCGTGTAAAATATAGGTTTGTTGTGACTCGTTAGAAATATTGGATCATAAAAGGGATCATGAGTTTATTCTGATCCTGTGGAATAAAGTTGTCAAAAGTCCATATTTGCTAAGCGCGACTTCCCTGACCAACAAGGCTGGCCAAGCTGGTCTCGAATCTTCAGCGTACGCGAGTATCAGTTCGTTTGACAAGAGAGGAGGACATGCGTTTCTTGTCTGAATCTTCGACATCCTCCCCCTTTTTCAAACAGTATGTAATTATATCTCAACAAAATAAAAGGAGGCGCCCCAAATTACGGGCACACTGCAGTTTGACGTACGGTTGTAAAAAAAGGAAGGTTTAATGAAAATAGAGCTATTCAGCCAATAGAATATCTGATTACGCTTGTTCTTGAAGGGCCAAGTTTCTGTGGGCTCTTCTACAACAGAAATCGTCCATCAGGAACCTAATTTTCCCCTGCTGGTGTAGCGAGTTTCCTACTGCGGGATAACATGATTAACCAACCTGAACTTGGCTGGTAATCACTATGTTATCGACTGAATATAACACCATTATCGGAAGTGACCTTCCTTAACAGAATGAACGCAAGCAACTGACGGAGATCCCCAGATTGTTGACGGTTGGAAAAGCCTCTATGATGCAAAAATCCCCTATGATGCAAAATCTCGCCCACACAAAACGCGATAGTCTCTCGCACATGAAGCCACTGCTCCGCTCCACAGCTGAGAACCTGCTACATCCTTATAATTTGTGTTCGTTTATGTTAAGCCCTTCTGAAATCGCTCTCATAACTCCATAGAGAGAATCGTTCGGCAAACTTGGGGAGCAGATTTGAGCTTAGCATCCGATACAAGCCTAACAGTATAGATCTCATGTCAAACGGCCACTTGTACTTGGGATCCTATCCTGGTAAGTTCCTCGGTAAGTAAACCACCTTTCCTTGGCCAGAATTCAGTAACCGGTATATAAAATCTCTTTGGAATGAATAAGTAGTCGTTTGCTCCAGATATTCACTACGACAGAATGAGCTCATTTTGTTTTTTTTTTCGTAAAAAGTGACCCATAAAGTGACCCGTAAAAGTGTGTTGTGAAAATGTTTGAGACTCGAAGGAAGATTTTTGAAGAGACGACATGAAGCTTGAGTTGGGTGTGTCCCAAAAAATATCATAGATCAATGTCAGAATACTTATTATCTTTTTTATTTATTATCTTTTCATTATAGATTGTTGACAATGACCTTTTTCAGGATTGCGGCAAAATATATAGTGGTCGTGTAAACAAAGTGGGTGAACGACCTTACCACTGTGGTACATGGTTCAACATTGTGATAGCGGTTAGTTAGACATTGGTAGCGGATTTTCCTTTGTTCTAAACTTCTTTTTGGATCGGCGGTTGCTCTGCTACAATGCAATAGTCAATTGATTCTATGTCATTATTTAAGTAAGCAGCTGACCAGCTGATATAATCTTGAGTGGCCATTGCGACCAGTAACTTCCCTTGTGAGACATCGTGCTCATACGATGACAAACAGAGTACAAGAATAATTTGTTATCCTTTCAGGTTTTTCTTTCGGGTTTCAAAATGGGTGTGAAAGTTCTTTCTCTGCTAATTAATTTGCTTGGAGGCGCCTTGGGAGAATGAATGTTTTCCTGAATGCAATAGTTTT